AGACTCAGAGACGGGCATCCAAATTCCCCGATCTCCGGTCTCACTTTTTTTTCAGCTTTGTATAGACATTCGTCTCCAGGACTCCATTTTTATTTCAGATATGAATATCGAGAAAATCGACAGTTTGACTGATCTGTGCAGTCAGCTGAATATTCGAGCCAAGACGGTTCAAATGGCGTCTTTGATTTTCTCTGGAGTTGCTGTACTCGTCATAAATATATCATCGATGTGCCAATAATACAAGCCTTCTTGCCTTAATCACGGGCCATTACTCTGGCCTCCGGCTCTGCTTTGTCTATAGTTATATCGGAACGGGCCATACTTATATCCGCCGAACCGATTCTGATTTGAATTTCGATATCGAAACGCTTTATCTTGACTCTGTCGCGAGTTCTGCCACTGTCGGGCTTGCCCTTGAAAATGATTTTGATAGCCTCGATTATGATTATTTTGACCATAACCATTTTCAAATGAAACCTCCTGATCACGGAAATCTTGAGGCCACCAATCCATCAGTGTAGCTTGCTGTAGCTGCCTGGGATTGCGACTCTCTTGAAATCCTTGTCCATTCAGAATGTCGGGCTGAATTTTCGGTTCGAATTTAGATAATATTGAAAGCGTTTCTAAAATTGGTTCCAGAATATTTGAAATCAATGTAGTTTGTTTATCTTGTAAAACTGTTAATAAATCAAGAGCGTCGGGACTGTTTTCCCCTCGTTCATTTGGAACATGTTCACGAGGGATTAACAGAGGCTCATAACACCGTACTGCTGCTGTAACAGCTCTAGAGAATGATAACCAACGCGTATTATTTGGTATAATTAATTTTAATTGTGGCTGTTTTAATACCAGTTGTATATCCAACAGTCTTGCTGATCTTATGGAAGAGCGGTTTATAAAATTTATCAACGATTTTAACGTAGATAGATTTGCTGATACTTCAGGAAGATCTTTACATGCTGATAATAAGCATAACTGAAGAACATGAACTCGACAATGAATAAACTGAATAGAATTAGAAAATATTTATTTTAAATTTTGTGTTGTGATCACCATTGAGGACAAAAGCATCATCAAGTCACAAAAACGAATTTTTGTTAAATCAGTATTTTTAGTTTTTGTTCATTATAACCTGAATCGCGTGCGGATAATAGTTCAGATTATAATAAAAGGTTCTTATATCACCTCGTTCACATATTTTACTTTTTTACTCATCATGTATAAAACTGAAAAAGAAATATAAGAACCTTTTCACATGCACTATTTA